CAGCTATTTGTCAATAATGAAGCGATAACAAAAGTTAACCATTTTAAATATCTAGGATGTTGGATAAACAAGACACTAAATCCGGATGAAGAAATTAAAACTCATATAGAAATTGCAAGAGGAGCATTTATGAAACTTAGATCTATTCTGAGAAATTCTCAGCTGCAATTACAGCTGAGGATTAATTTCCTAACATGGTATGTGTATCCTGTATCACTGTACGGATGTGAAACCTGCCCTATAAAGGTTAACATGATGAACAAATTAGAAGCCTTTGAGATGTAGTTATATCGTAGAAAGCTCAGAATATCAACACATTTCAAACAGAGAAGTGTTAAACAAAGTAGGTCAAGGTAAAGGTGACTTAATAAAGATGATTAAAAAGAGAAAACTTGAATATCTGGGGCATATAGTGAGATGAGGCAGATACAGGATCATCAACCACTTGTAGCAGATATTAAACTAAGGTTAAAACGAATTCAGCAACAAAAACTAAAAACCAATGAACTTAATTTTGACAATATAAACATAAAACATAACATTAAAAAAGAATTTATCAATAGAATAAAAAACATCGGAGAACAACTAGAAGATCCAGAAGAACTATGGAGTGAATTTAAAAACCAAGTTAACAAAATCTCCACAAACAATGATTATAGAAAAAACTTAATCAAGAAAAATAAATGGATGACAGACGACATCTTGAAATTAATGGAACAACGTCGACTGATAAAATCTAATGTAACAGATATAGACACCTGCAGAGAAGAATAAAAAAGGAGATCAAATTAGCCAAAGAAAAATGGATGAAAGAAAGGTGCGACGAAATGGAGAATGTAATATCTAAACACGACTTATTTAATGTGCACAAACAACTAAAAGAAATGAGCAACATATTTAAAAAACGAGTCCCCTCTGTACTCGTTGACAATAATAACAAAATTATAGTAAATGAGCACGAAATAAGAGAAGATTGGTAGCTGTACATATCAGAGTTAGAAGAGAAGAACCGTCTTAGAGAAAGTTATAGAAAAGCGAATAAAGCTGTCAAGAAGGCAGCAAAGAAAGACAAAAGAAAGTGGGCAGAAAGCGAGTCGCCGATGAACATCAAAACATGAGACAATTATATAATATCACTAAACAACTAGCCAATAAAATATATACTACCCACCAACCAATTGTAAAAAGTGCTACAGGTGAAGATATTACAACGCCACAGGAACAAGTCAAAAGATGGCATGAATATTTTAGCGAATCTCTAAGTGCAGTCCCAACACCACCAGAAGACGCAGAAAACGTAATACCCAATATCCAACTGAGAATTAACACCAACGAACCAACAACGCAAGAAATAGAAATGGCCATAGAAAAACTGAAAGCACACAAAGCAGCCGGCCCTGAGAATATTCCACCAGAGTTGTTAAAAGCTTGCCCAGGTACAGTGTCAGAGCTAATCCAACCACTCTTGAAAAGGGCTTGGAGAGAATAAAAGTTCCCCAAAGAATGGAAAACGGGATTAATAATAAAGATACCAAAAAAGGGTGACAGATGATATTGCGAAAACTGGAGAGGAATCACACTTCTGAATACTATAAATAAATTAACAGCAATAATTAGAAACAACCGAATAACAAACAGTGTAGAACCAATGTTGAGGAAGGAACAAGCCGGTTTCAGACCAAACAGATCATGCGTGGACCAAATTAACACACTAAGAATAATTGTAGAACAGTTACAGGAATTCAACTCTCCTCTCTTTGTGTGCTTTGTGGACTTCAAGAGAGCTTTTGACACGCTCACACATACGGCCATATGGAAAGCACTGCAGGAAATAGGAATACCAGAAAAAATAGTAAATCTCATCAAAGAACTCTACAGTGACACAGAAAGCAAAATCCTACGCAACGGCATAACATCTGACCCAATAGCTATGCTAAACGGAGTAAAGCAGGGCTGTGTTTTATCCCCCATACTATTTAACATTGTACTGGACTCCGTACTAACAAAAGTAAACTCTAATAGAGGAATTTACTGGGGATTAACAAACATACTGGAAGACCTAGATTACGCTGATGATATATGCCTCCTAGCACATACAAAACAGGACATGTAACTCCAAGTAAACAAAGTACAAGAAGAATCAAAGAAGGTTGGTCTAGAAATAAACATCAACAAAACCAAAGAAATGCGATTTGGTACCAGAAACAACCAACCTATTATGATCAACGACCAGAAGATTGAGAGAGTAGCGGAATTTGTATATCTGGGCAGCATAATTGACTGTAATGGGGGTACAGAGTGTGATGTACATGAAAGAATAAATAAGGCTCGCAACGCCTACAACATGCTTAACAACATATGGAAATCCAGGATTTACCCAACTAAAACGAAATTAAAAATCTTCAACGCAAATGTAAAAGCTGTATCACTGTATGGCTGCGAAACGTGAAGATATCAGCACCCATAGTACACCAATTACAAGTTTTCATCAGTAGAGCGTTACGAAAAATCCTTCGTATATTTTGGCCTAACCGAATCTCTAATGAAAATTTATGGAACCAAAGCAACCAAGAAAATGTCATAAAGCAAATAAGCGCTGGATTGGAATCCCCAAGGCCGACGGAAAGTAGGCAGACCTAAGGGAACTTGGAGAAGGACAGTACTGGACGAAGGGAGAAAAATGGGAAAATCCTGGCTTGAAATGAAAGCACTAGCCAGAAATAGAGTTCGCTGGAGACACTTTGTGGAAGCCCTATGTTCCTCTTAGGAATCTTGGGACCATATATATATATATATATATATATATATATATATATATATATATATATATATATATATATATATATATATATATATATACATATCAGAGTTGTTTTCAGATGACAGGAATAATATTGCCAAATTCTACCAAAACTGTACTGACGGACCAGAAATTATGAAATGCGAGGTAGAACAGGCTATAAATAATGCTAAAATAAGAAAAGCTTGTAGTCCAGATAATACACCAACTGAGTTGCTGAAACTAATAGAGAATGATAACATAAAAGTAGTAGTAAGACTTTTTAATTCGTTATTCAATATATAACACCGGAGTGATTCCCGCAGATTGGCTCAAATCCATCTTTGTCGCCATACCTAAAAAACACAATGCAAGAAAATGCGCAGAATATCGATTAATTAGCCTAATGAGCCACACTCTTAAAATTTTCCTCAGAATACTTCACAACAGAATTAGAGGCAAATGCGAAGAAGTTCTTGAAGATACCCAATTTGGTTTTAGAAATGCTATGGGAATCAGGGAAGCGCTTTTTGCTCTTAACATCCTATTACAAAAATGCCGTGACCAAAGAAAAGATGTATTTGCATGTTTCGTGGACTTCGAAAAGGCATTCGATAAAGAACAGCATATAAAATTAATGCAAATACTGAAAAATATCGGAAAGATGACAAGACCATTCGTGGCATTAAAAATTTGTACTGGAATCAAACTGCTATCGTAAAAATTGGAGATAACTACACCGATGAAATCTCTATACAACGAGGAGTCAGACAAGGTTGCATTTTCTCGCCAATATTGTTCAATGTTTACTCGGAGCAGTTATTTAAAAAGGCACTTGAGAGACAACCATATGGAATAAAAAGCAACGGAGAACTACTTAATGTGATTAGATATGCAGACGATACAGTAAATCTATCAGATAATACTGAAGGTCTTCAAATTCTGCTTGATCGTATTCACGAGGTAGGAGAGAAAATGTGCATTAAAATAAACTCAAACAAAACTAAATTTTTAGTATTTAGTCGTGACCCACATACCTATGCAAAGCTTCAATTAAACGGAGTCCAAGTTGAGAAAGTTCACAAAATGACATATTTGGACACTGTGATAACGGACCAACTAGATCCAGACATAGAAATAAAACGTAGAATAACAATGACTAAAACTACTTTTATAAAAGTGAAGTCATTTCTTTGCAATAACCATCTCAGTTTAGAACTAAGGCAAAGAAGGGAGAAGTGCTATGTGTGGTCCGTACTTTTGTATAGTGCAGAAGTGTGGACGCTAAAAGTATCGATCATAAACAAAAATGAAGCATTGGAAATGTGGGTTCATAGACGCATGGTGAAGATACCTTGGACAGCAAGAAAATCTAATGAAGAAGTAGTAAGGAGCGTTAACAAAGATAGAGAACTGCTAAAGACTGTTAAACATCGAAAAATGTCTTATCTGTGACATGTAGTAAGAGGAAGTCAATATAAAATATTACAACTGATCCTTAAACACAAAATAGAGGGCCGTAGAGGTGTAGAAAGAAAACAAGTTTCTTGGTTAAAGAACATTCGTGAATAGACTCAGATACCAAATGCAGGACAATTATTCCATATTGCAAACGATCGAGAGCCTTCGCAATGGTGATCGCCAACGTCGGATAATTCTGATATGGCATGCGAAGAAGAAGAAAAGCAGAGTTTGGTGTTTATTGAGAGTAAACTAAATTTAAGATCAAATACTTAAAAGGAAAATTGTATTGTCCTTATTACATGTGATTATCAATTTAAAGACGAATCACAAGTTTCTCAAATCATGATTTGTCTGGCAGATATTCTTAAGTTAAAATTGCAATATCATTTTACATAATGGCAATATCATTTTACAGTCGTCTACTTTAAAATGTATAATATTATTGACTATATGAATGAGTCAGATTAAATTAAATTATTAGAAGAATTTTTTACCAAGTAGCAAAAAATAAAATTTGTTTAGTTTTTTAATGTTTTGTATTTTGAGACCGATTTCCGAAGTGGAAATCGAAACGTAAAAACTAAACTTAACTTAAACTTAAATTGTAGCTCATTCCCAATACAAATAGTCCTTGCATTAAGATGCCACAAGAAAATGGCTTTAAAACAATATTTAAAATTTAAAAATAATCCGGATTTTAATAATCATAGTAGTGTCAACATATAGCCAAAAAAATTTCAATAAATTTTAAACTTACTTTAGACATGTGTATTCATGGAATGTGGCGAATGCTCGATGAATAATTTTTATTTGTTCAGCAGTAAAATTTGCAGCTATTACATACGGAATAATTCCTTTATCCCATCTAAATGTCTCTCCAACTATGCCGTTTCGCAATGAACTCTCAGGTATTAAGATGTCGCCCTCATAAAACTTTTCGTTTTCCTCAGGATTCGTATAATTCGCTGAAGCTTTTTTAACGGTTTTGTTAACAATATCCCTAATGAAAATTAAAGTTATCAAGAAAACTATATGTAAAATATATTTAGACATGTTCCAGAAATAAAAATAAATTCTTTTTTACAAAGTCAAAATTAGAGAGTTTTAAATTCTGGGCAATAATATTATTTGCTTTTACTTAAACATTAACCTACACACTATTCATAAAATGTTATCGTAGTTAAAATTTTAATTAAACATAAATAATGTTTATTATCATCCTATATACATAATAAAATTGTTACTGCAATTCAATGATATTTCATGCATTCCATATTAGTACTGTAACAATATGAATTTTAGAAATTATTTATTTTTCTGTCCCATAAAAGAGAACCTTATATAGAAATATATGACATATAAATAGTTAATTGAAAATGCCCTGCAACTCAGCAACATAGCTGTCTTTTATAAACAAATTTTTGGTAGTCCTATGGGATCTAGTCTTTCACCCATTCTTAGTAGCTATGTCATGGATGATGTTATTAGTGATTGTATCAACAATTGCACTTTTTTCATTCCTTCTAATAAAATATATGTAGATGATTTAGTTTTGGCACTTCCTAAACACAAAATTCATGAAACAGTTAACATTTTCTACAATCATAATCAACATATACAGTTTACAGTTGAGGAAGAGGTAGATAATTCTCTACCATTTCTTGACATGAGAATTGTAAGAACTACAGACAATGTGTTGAAAACTAGATAGTTCAGAAAACCCATATGTAGCAATATATTTTTAAGCTATTACTCACATCATTCAAATAAGATGAAAATGAACCTATAACAGGATTAAAAGGACTTTTGTTTGAAGGCTTTCCCATCCAGATTATCTACAAGATCTTCAGTTGTTAAAAAATATTTTAATTGAAAACTCTTATCCTCCAGATATGCTACATATGATGCTTTTTTCTAATATTTTTAATATAAATAACTTTTTTTGCTAAATCTCAGAACATTGTATCCAATAATCAGAACATCGATTATCATTTACTACCTTTTACCTATACCATCATTAACACCTAAATTAATACAAAAAACACTAAAGGTTATTGACAATATAAAAATAGAAACAAAGAACATCAAAACTATTTCATCTTTATATTCCAAAACTAAGTATCCTATAGATAAATTAGATAAAACAAATATACAATAGTATACAGCATTGGTTGTATCTACTCAGTGTAAAGTTGTGTATGTTGGTAAGACCGGAAGAAATCTGTCAAACCGTATTATTTCCCACAAAAGTGGCTGTAGAATTAAAAACCATCTTGTGCTTTGGCAGAGCATGTAATCGACAAATACCATATTATGGATTTTGATAACATTAAAATTTTATGAAATAAAAGTAATAAATTCAAAAGGACTTTTTTAGAAATGGTTTGTATTAGCAGAAGTGATAATAATTTAAACAAAAGATCAGAAATTCAAAATCTTAGCAAAATTTATAATTATATTATTTCTCTATAGTTTATTCATGAAAATATCACATTTTAATTTAATATTCAATATACTTGGTACATTGTTTATCTATCAATGATGAATAAACCTTCTTTTTTATTACTAAATAAAAAATAAATCTTTAAACAAAATTTTATTTTTTGGCAATATAATTGTCAAAAATAAAAATTGTAAGTTGGCATCCATGACATTAAGACTTATTTGTAATTGGTCGCCATTCTAACTTGGCGTATATATATATATACATATATATATATATATATATATATATATAATATATATATATATATATATATATATATATAGAAAAAGAAGTACTTGTGACTCGTTTGGAAAAAATATAACACTGTTTTTGATGGGTTGGAGTCAATAAAAGGGGCTATTTGTTGACTATTTTTTACTCGAGCTTTCAATTGTGATTACAATTTTTATCAAGAGCTTCTAAAAAATACAAAATGTCTTACAAAGTTGAACTAGAAAAACTTCTAGTTCAACTTTGTAAGACATTTTGTATTTTTTAGAAGCTCTTGATAAAAATTGTAATCACAATTGAAAGCTCGAGTAAAAAATAGTCAACAAATAGCCCCTTTTATTGACTCCAACCCATCAAAAACAGTGTTATATATATATATATATATATATATATATATATATATATATATATATATATATATATATATATACTAATGTATAAATTCAATTATTTTTGTTAAAAAAGTTTTTCAAAATTACTAAATAGTAACAGTTTAGATTTAGTAACAAAACTAATTTAATTTGATGAGTTAAAATTTATTTAAATTTTTATTATTGAAATGATTTTATTATAGTAATATTAAAAAGTGTAATGAAGTTACCACTTTTGGCCTCCTTAGCTGCTACCTGCAAAATGGAAGCAACAATTTAGAAATACATATGACAGAACAACGAGGCGAGTTGCCAACCACTGGTGTGCTTATACCTTTTTCTTCTTCATGTACCATGTCCTTTCAGAACGTTGGTTACCATCATAGCTATTTTAATTTTATCCACTGCCACCCTAAATAGCATGCTTGTATCTACACCACACCAATCTCGTGTGGTTGTACCGCTTATTGAGCGTATACCGCTACCGCTAATATAATAAATTAGCTGACAACCTTGTCAGTACAAACCAGAAAATGAAAAAAAAAAGGTGGTTAAGATCACCATTTTCCCCGCACTGATTGGTTCAGAGAAAAAATGAACAAACACGTGAGGTCGATCTAAAATATCACATATTTTCACACATGATATTATTCTAAGTTGGTCACCATTGGGTATGTCATTTAAAGAGGAACCATAGATAAAGGTATTTACTAATGATGGAAGATGGATAGGAATATTATCAAATAATTCCATTAATAACACTTTACCTTATTTTCCTCAAGTTACTGAAAAACTTATTAAACTGTACAAACAGAATAAAGTACCTGTTAAAATTGCAGTTAAGAATACCATGACTGTCAGAAATTTGATTTCTAAAACAAAAACACCCTTGTCCCTTTTGGAACAAGTAAATGTCATCTATCATATACCTTGTGCTGAGTGTGACTCGTGCTACATCGATCAGACAGGGCGATCACTGAGAGGGCGTCTTACGACACACCGCAGTGATATTAACTTATCTAAGCATACTTGTGATCTTACCCAGCATTATATTAACACTAATCACAAAGTGGACTTTAATGAAGTTAAGATTCTTGGCAATGAACGCAATATTGTTAAAAGGCAGTTTTTGGAAATGTGTTCGATACTCAAACACCCTAACGCTCGTAATAAGAGAACGGACATTAGTAAATTGAGCCAAATTTATCATGCATTAATATTGCAGAATTAAGCTTAATGTGTTGTTTACTTTAAAAGTGTCCCCTAAGGTGTATGTCTTTTCATATTAAATAAATTCAAATAAAATGAAATAAAATAAAATATTATTTTCTTACTTTGCTTAACTTAATATAGATTTATTCAACTAATATTTTGTTGATTATTTTGTCAATGTTACATTTATATATCTAAAATAATTTTCTGATCAAATAGTTTAATAAAATTTTAAAATTAAATTGATTCATAGAATCTTTATTAATTTCTCAGTTCCAAATTATTATGAACCATGGACTGTTGGAAGTTAAATTTAATATTCACCTGTGGCTGGCTAACCAGCTAGAACGTAGACTCTTATAGTATGTGATATTTTAGATCGACCTCACTTCTTTGTTATAAAATCTTAATCATTTTAATAATAAAATTTTTTATTTCAAATCCTTTATAAAGGTTATATAATAAAATACCCAAACGTGCTATATCACAATTACATTACAGAACGTTTTCGGAATGTTAATTATATCATCAGTGTATCGAAATATACATGCTATGAGCCACTAAAATATATGGGTAAAAACCCGTTAAATGTTGGTAATTTATAGTTGTGTTACATTATATATTATTACAAATTAGGATGTTCAAGTTACCGTTGGAATTGGTAACATGGCGACGTATCTTTTAAGGGGTTTTTACCCATATATTTTAGTGGCTCATAGAATGTAGCCCGTTTGGGTATTTTGTTATATACCTTTTATAACGGATTTGAAATAAAAAAAATTGTGATACATGGTATACAGCCAGATACAGGAACTTAGTTTCCTAGTGCATTTCAATAAAGTTACCTTAAGTAAAAATGAAATTTAACTAATAATATACTGTTGGAAGTGTGGTCTTATGATCTTGTTAGTTCTCGGCAAATAAGTGTTTTTACGTAAGTTTTTTACATACTTTTTTTATTACAATTATGTACAATTACCACATGGTCTTTTTCTGTGCTAAGTTTGAGTTTATTTGTAAACTGTATTTAGTTTCAATTAATTGTTTATACAGCATAATCATTTAATGTCCAATGTCGTAAGCTTCTTTACATATTTAATATCATTGAGTGGTACATGTCTTTTTGGGGTAAAACACTTATAATTACTTTTCTATGAATGTTTGGCAATAAGGCAGCTGGATTAGATGAAATACCAGTAGAACTGTTAAAACTAGTGGACGAGGATAACTTGAAAGTATTGGCAGATTTATTCACACGGTGTACGATACGGAAATAATACCACAAGATTGGCTGAAGTCAGCATTTATAACCATCCCTAAAAAACAAGCAGCGAAAGAGTGCTCTGGTTATCGAACACTGAGCCTCATGATATCTACAACATCTTATCGAAAGCTTGAGTATGAATAGTGCTGAGATGGGAATTACTATATAAACGCTAAAAAAACGAAGTACATGCTAATTACAAAAAGACCACAAAATATACATCACCAATTGACAATCAATGGTAACGTGATAGAACAAGTAGAAAAATATCAGTACTTGGGAACTTTGACCAATGAAACCAATGATCACACTGTAGAAATAAACAGGCAAATAGAGATTGCCAGATCAGCATTTATACGAATGAAGCCACTTCTAACGTGCAAAAATCTAAATTTGGAGATCAGACTACGAACTCGCTGTTATATATTTTCAATATT